TGCTGGAATCCTAGTTCTGCTACTTAGTGCTGTGGTCACCTGGGGCAGGTCACTTCCCCTCTCTGAGTCCCACAGAGGACTGTTGTGAGGATTAAAGGACATAATAATGATCCAAAGCTCAACACATAGTAGGTGTTAATAAAGGGCAAATAGTATTATAATATCGCTGGTATGTTCACAGAGTTCCCATCCCTGAAGGTATGGGACACGGGGCAACCAAGTTTCAAGGGAGAGGTTAGCAAGGGTCTGGAAAGGTGTGGGGCGTGGCGGGGGTGGACCAAGCAGCCGACCTGGCCAGTGAGTAGGAGCAGCAGTTGGGGGGAGGGGGTGGGGGGCACTCAAATGTCAGCTACCATCTTGTCCCCGGAGTAGAACTCGAACTTTGTGATACATAAACATCATTCACATCTATCCGTTCATTCACTCCTAAGGGTTCGAGATGGCTGGGAGTAGGAGACAGGACTAGTGTTATAATCCCCATTTTGCAGATCTGGAAACCAAGATTCAGAAAGGAAAAGCAATCTGCCCAAGGCCACAGCTAATTATTTCATTCATTCATTCACTCCCTCATCAGATATTCAGTGAGTGCCTACTATATGCAGATGCTGTGAATACACTGGACATAGCTCTGTCACAATACAGTGGCAGAGCTAGAACCAAAACCCAGGACTGGGACGCCTAGTCCCACAAGTTCTCTATTATAAGACCATCATGGCCTGGGCCTGTAATGTTTGCCTGAGGCCAGAGCGATCCTCCCGCCTCAGCCTCCCAGAGTGCCAGGATTACAGGTGTGAGCCACCCAGCCCCTCACTTTGAATTCTAGCTCTCTCACTCACAGTTGAATGACCATTGCCTCACATACTCTGGGCCTCAGTTTCTTCATCTGTAAAATGAGCATCATAATACCCAGTTGCCTCGAGGATCAAATGAGATAATGGATGAGAAGCAGTTTTGTAAGCTGTAAACAACCCTACTCAAGTAGAGGCTTATCATTAATTCCCCTTGTTTCTCTGACACCAAGGAGAAATGAGCTGGGGGAAGCATCAGGGCTCCAGGCCAAGGTGGGGAATGATGCATTCCAACCCTAACGCTGCCCTCTGGCTCTCCAGGTGACCTTGGGAAATCTGAGCCTCAGTTTCCCCCATCAGGAAAGACAGAGTCATTAGACCTGTTTGCCTCCACCAGCTAAGGAGAGGAGTTGCTCATTAACAGTGGTTGTTCATGCTCTATTTTCGAGAGGCTTCTGAGCGGCCACCACCAATTACCATTTATTGAGCACACATGATGTATTCTCCTGGGCTGGGCAGACAGATCTTCCAAAGGCGAGGCCTTGCCCTGGGACAGCAGGCGACCTAACCAGCCCTGCCAAGGAACAGCACAAGGCTCCCTCTCACCACACACATTCCCTGCCTCCTCTGTCCCTTGATAGACGACTTACTGAGTAGCAAAAGTGACACGATAGAGGCGTTTCTCTGACATAGGCCACTAACACCTGGTGGGACCCTGAATTATCAGAAAAAGGAAGGGGCTGGGGTTGCCAGGTGGCTCACACCGTATAAATCCCAGCCACTTTGGGAAGGTGAGCGCAGGAGATCACTGGAGGCCAGGAGTTCGAGATCAGCCTGGACATCAGAGTCGAGACCCCGTCTCCAGTAAAAAAATTAAAAAATCAGCTGGGCATGGTGGCATGCACCTGTAGTTCCAGCTACACCCCCGCCCCAGTGCTGAGGCTGCAGGATCCCTCTGAGCGCCAGGGGTCAAGGCTCCAGTTGCACTATGATGACAACCAAAACACTCAGCCTGGGCATCAAAAGCAGACCCTGTCATAAAAAAAATTAAATTTTTAAAATTTCTTCTTTCTTTTCTTTCTTTTCTTCTTTTTTTTTTTTTTTCTTGCTTTTCTTTGTGAGGACGAGTCCTCTGCTTTGTTCCCAAGGCTATGGATTGAGAGCCGTGGCCCCGTCGCCTATAGCTCTACAGCAACGCTCACACTCCGCTGGGCCCTCGAGCAATCCTCCCTGCGCTCAGCCTCCCCAAGGGAGCTGGGACTACCAGGCCATGCGCCACCATCGCCCGGACTAATCTTTTTCGTATAATTTTCAGTTGGCCCAATTAATTTCTTTCTATTTATTAGCGGTAGACGACGGGGTCTTGCTCCCTGTTGGCTCAGGCTGGTTTCGAACCTCTGACCTCAGGGCAATCTGCCCGCCTCGGCCTCCCAAGTGCTAGGATTACAGGAATGAGCCACCGTGTCCAGCCATAAATTTTTAAATTTTCTAAAAAGTAAAAGGACCTGTTTCCTTATCAATGTCTGGGTCTGCTCAAGAGCTGCTAACCTCTGCTTCTCAGTGTCTCTTGCAACCGTCCCTCCTTTCTGCTTCTGCCGTCCTCCTGGGGGAGTCTCAAGCTGACATTGTGGCACTAATGTCCTCACAGGTTCCTACAGCTGTGGCCTTGCTTCTGTCCTATCCACAGCGATATTAGGGTGGAAAGCCCAGCAGGTGTTCACAGTGGGGGGGAGGGTAGATTTCTGATGCAGAAATTAAGGTATAAAAGTAAAAAAAAGTTGATCTTTTCAGAAGGATAGAGAGAATGAGAGAGCGAAAGAAAGAGAGAGAAAGAGGGGGAGAGAGAAGGGAAAGGGGGAAGAGAACAGGGAGACACGTGGCATCCCAAAGAAAGAGAAGGGGGTGACGGCAGCCAGGCCAGCGGCTCGCTGATTTTAAGGGGAAAGAAGAGAGAAAACTAATGATGGCTCTTAGTTGATAACAAAAGCGGCAGCAGGTAGATAACAAAACTGCAAGGATGTCAAAGTTCAAGACTCGGTGTCCTGCCTTACTTTGGGGAAGGGATCGTCACAGGAGATGGGACTCTGTCCTCGAGAAATGGTCCAGGCTGTAGCTGGTTCTCCTGCTGTTTACTCAGGAACTTTGTAAAAGCAGATTTTCAAAAACCAGTTTTGAAGGCGAGAGATTCACATCTCTTGTCCATCCATTCGGCAGCGCAGAACTCCTGCAGGCACCTGTCAGCTGGAGAGAACTCACAGGATGGATCTTCAACTGTTGCTGGGGAAGGTGCAGGATTAGGGGTTTTCCTGTGGTTTTTGCAAGGCCGCCCCTGCCCCCAGCTGTCAGATCAGTCCTCCTGAAACACTGCTTTAGCCTCTCGCTCTCCTGCTGGGCCCTTCGGTGATGCCCCACTGCCTAAGAGGGTCAAGTTCAAAACAATAACTTCCCCAAGTTGACTTGGTGCCAATCCCGGCCCTGCCCTCGCGATGGGCAGATGACTCGGACCTCTGTGAGCATCAGTTTTCGCAGCTGCAAAATGAGGCAAACTGTACCGCTACTATGTTGCTGTGGTTAAACTTTAAGATACTGTCACGCACTGCGTAACAACGTTTCAGCCAACAACAGACTACATACATGACAATGGTCACATAAGTCTCTAATGCCGTATTTTTACTGCACCTTTTCTGCGTTTAGATATGTTTAGATGCACCAACGCTTACCGCTGTGTTGCACTTGCCTACGGCGTTCATACAGCAACATGCCGCGCAGGTTTGCAGCCCAGGAGAAGGCGCTGCGCCGCGTGGGCCGGGTGTGTAGAAGGCGATCGCATCCAGGTCTGTGTAAGCACGCCCTGTGCTGTCTGCACAATGACAGGATCGCCTATGATGCACTTCTCAGGGCATATCCCCATCTTTAAGCGACACAGGACTAGGTGCATGAGGCAGGGTGCCAAGCTTGCAGAAATGACTCAGGACACATTTGCGCTTCCCCTTTTCCTTAGCGTCCTGGGAACTCGGGGAGCCTGCGGGTGACAGCCAGTGCATCACACTCACAGGGGCCAGGAGGGCCCCCGGGAAAGGGGAAGACTGTGGGCCGCAGGATTAGGCTGCTGACATCTCGGGTTTAGGGCTTCTAACAAAGAGGGGAGACGCAGTCTGCCCCAAGTACCATGAGTGTGGTGAGAACTGGCCTTGGTATACAAGAACCAGTGTTTGTTAGAAAACACCGAGCATATAATTTAAAAGGGCTTGGCTCAGCCCCTGGGGAACCACCCATTGTCCTTTCAAAGACACTATAAAACCAAAAAGACAAAAAAGAAAAGACCAACATTGGCTCCGGAGCTCCTGCCCCAGCACCAGCAGCCTGGAGCCCGAGGGCTGGCGAGGGGGCAGGCCCCAAGAGCAGAGGCAACAACAGCAGCAGGATGACCTCATCTGCCCGGTTATCAAAAACCACAATGTCTGCAAGCCACAAGGTCTGCCAAGAAGGAGTATGAGTCACCAGGACCCACAGGAAAGAGGGCCCCGGGTGGGGTGTTGTGGGGTGGGGTGGGGTGGGGTAGGCAGCGTGGCACATTTTGACAACAAGCAGGTTCAAATCCTGACTTAGCTCTGGGGCCTTCAGTTCTCTGAGTCTCAGCTTCCTTATCTTTAAAAATGGGGAATAATAATAGTGCTTATGTCATAGGGAGGTTTTAAGCACTAAAGGAGGTAATCGGTATAAAGGACTTCTACAATAAATGGCATTTATTATTTTGATAGCCAAATTCTTGATTCTCCCCAAAGCTGTTGGAAGAAGGGTCCCACTCTCTCCTCATCTTCCACTGCCCCCAACAGGAACCCTCAGCTTCAATTTTATATCCTTTGGGGGGCTGATCCCCCAGAGGCTCAGGCCTCGCTGCCTCAGTTCCAGCCATTTCCTGGGAGGCCAGACCTGCCTGGTTCAGAACCTTGAAACCTTCAAGGCTTATATCAACTCCCGACGGACACTCCCTGGCGATGCCAGCCCCCAGCCATGCCGCCCCTCCGAGCACCCACAGTGCCTTCAGTTCTCTGAGTCTCAGCTTCCCTATCTTTAAAAATGGGGAATAATAATAGTGCTTATGTCATAGGGAGGTTTTAAGCACTAAATGAGGTAATCTGTATAAAGGACTTCTGCAATAAATGGCATTTATTATTTTGAATATGGGCCTTGGGTCTAATAGTAGTCAAGATTTTTTCCATTGCAATTAAGAGAAACCTAACTGTAACTGGCTTGAGCAAAATTCATGTGTGTGTGAGGCCCGGCTCCATACAGGGCTCGCAGGATGTGGGCAGAACTGGTTTCGCCTCAGCTCATCGCTGGGCTCTACGTCGACTCCGCTCTCAGGCAGGCGTGGGCAGGGCGGCCCCAGCAGCTCCAGGTGTGCACCCCCCTGGTTTCAATTCTGCCGGTGGTAGTTTCAACCCAAGACCCAGAATTGAGTCTCATGGCCTGCTTTGAGTTACGTGCACATTCCTGGAGCCCGGGGTGGAGTCGACTGCTCCAACACTGCACATGCTTAGCATGACAGACCAGTGATCGTTCCTAAAAGTCAGAGTGCTGCTACCAGATGCAGACAAGACTACAGATGACCGCGGAGCCTGATCTTGAATCAGCGGCACCCAGTCAGCCACTAAAGCATGTGTCGGGGCTAGGTAAACACTCAAATAGATGGATGACATGAAGAACTTCTTTTTTAATTTTCTCCCCCTCTCTGTCGCCCAGACTGGAGTGCAGTGGCACGATCATAGCTCACTGCAGCCTCGAACTCCTGAGCTCAATCAATTCTCCTGCCTCAGCCTTCCAAGTGGCGTGGACTACAGGTGTGCACCGTGCACCCCCATGCCTGCCTGTTGCTCAGGCTGGTCTCAAACTCCTGGCCTCTAGCCATCCTCCCACCTCAGCTCCCCAAAGTGCTGGGATTACAAGGGCGAGCCACTTTGCTTGGCCTGACATGAAAAATTTCTGACAGATTCTTGGCTGTCCAAGAACCAGAGCTCAATGTTATCCACCTTTGTCTCCCAGTCTTCAAACAGAGCCTGGCATGAAGTCAGGGCATTGATCTGTCCACAAAGCATTAGGGAAAAACTGTGAGTTCAAGAAAAATGAAGATACAGTGAGGCAGAAGGAATACGTTCTACTATTCAATAGCACAGTAGGGAAATCATAGTTAATAATTTATTGTATATTTCAAAATAGCTTAAAGAGAAGAATCATAATGATCCCAACACAAAGAAAAGATAAATGTTTGTCGGTGATGGATTTCTCAATGGCCCTGTGTCATTACACGCATGTACAGGTTATCAAATATCACTGTTGCCCCCAAAATACAACACCATCATATATCAATTCTAAAACTTTTGAAATGGAGTTTAAAAAAAGAAGACTGTTTAGCCAGAAACAGTCATCTCTCCTGGGTGTCCAAAAGAGGCAGAAATTACTTGAAGCGTTACAGCTCTTTTACAACGTGTCTAGCAGTTTTTCCAGTCCTCCCCGGAAGACCCCTTCCCAAAATATCAAAATTTAAAAAAAAATTTAAAAGGAAAAAAAAAAGAAAGAACACTACTGGAAAATTCTAGTTTTCATAATTCAGGAGGTCTGACGACTTAGGGTTGAGATTGTTGGGATGGAGGCCGAGGGAACTTCGGCGCTGGACAGAGAAGGGTTTTTTTTTTGTGGTGTGACAGGGGAAGATGAGAGAAATATCCCCGGCCACAGGCTGGGGTGGAAGGGATGGAAACCTGAGTGAGGGAACAGAAAATGTGGGTTGGAAGCTGGTGGGCGAATCTATAAAATGACAGTGGTAGTACCCCGCGAGGTGTGGTGGGCACAACAGCGTAACCAAAACTCCGGCACAGTACCTGACGCTCGGAAGTGTATGTTGGATGATGGGTAGATGCTCCGCCAGGACTTGCCATCTCAAAGGTTTATGAGCGTTTCAACGTTTATCATGTCCACAGGCGCCTAGAAACGGGGGAGGGAGGAGGGTGGGGTCCTAGAGGAAGAGTCGCCGACCCTCCTCTTTTTTCCTTGCTTGGCATCTGTGGTTTTTAAGGGGGTCAAAACCCACAGCCCTGTCCCAGGCCTTGCAGAACCCAAGATTAGCCCACACCGGGCAGGTGGCTTTTTTTTTTTTTTTTTTTGAGACAGAGTCTAGCTTTGTTGCCTGGGCTAGAGTGAGTGCCGTGGCGTCGGCCTAGCTCACAGCAACCTCAAACTCCTGGGCTCAAGCAATCCTCCTGCCTCAGCCTCCCAAGTAGCTGGGACTACAGGCATGCGCCACCATGCCCAGCTAAGTTTTTCTATGTATATTAGTTGGCCAATTAATTTCTTTCTGTTTATAGTAGAGACGGGGTCTCGCTCTTGCTCAGGCTGGTTTCGAACTACTGACCTTGAGCAATCCGCCGGCCTTGGTCTCCCAGAGTGCTAGGATTACAGGCGTGAGGGACAGCGCCCGGCCGGGCATGTTGCTCCTTCTCAAAGGCCCCTAGGGAACAGGTTCCTGGCCTGCCTGCCTCTGAAATTCTATCAGTTGTTTAGAATATTCTTTCTTGTGACGGATCGCTGACTCTCAAGCACCACTAGCACTATATGTTCGTTCACGTGGGTTCCATCTTTCATTCTCGCTGTAATCATTATCAGGCACCTGTTATGCCAGGGACCCTGCCAGACACCAGAAATACAAAAATGAGTAGGATGCCTTCGCCCTCCAGGAGTCCGGAGTCTAGTGGGCACGAGGCACAATAGACAGACATCATGGTGCACAGCAAGCGCTTAACGGAGGTTAACTCCAAACACGCTGGAAGCCCTCAAGGGCTCCTAACCTGGGTTTTGGAGAGGGGACTCAGGGAGGCTTCTCAGGGGAGGTGACACGTGAACCGAGTCGCAAGGGGCTGCTGCACAAGTGGATCTGAGCCACAGTTATTTGTGACTACAATTCCTCAGCCTTCGTCAGGCAAGACGCACAATAGGCTGGTTATTATGGGGCTGGTTATCGCACGGAGGTGATAATCACGGTATCGCCACTTCACTGTGTGGGCGATTACCAGGCAGAAGTTGCAGCTCGATGCACTGTGACCTCAGGCGGCGAGTGGCACCCTATGGTCCTGAAGCAGGTGGTCCGGTCACGGTGGACCCCAGGGCTTGCTGCAGCCTCCATGACCCATGGAAAGTGCAGGGATGGAGGCCTGGGCCTCCCAGCGACATCGGGAGTGGCCCACGGGGAAAGGGTGTGTCCCCGCAAAGCTGTGGAATCACCTTCTCCAGAAACCGGTCTTGATTGAGAACCAGCTGCTATTGGGGCAGTAGCAGGAGCACTCCCGCCTGGAATGTGGAGGGGAGAACCACAGGGCCTGCGGAGGTCCCCGCGGGGCAAGGAGCCCACCATTCCAGAAGGTACCTCCGTGTTTCCGACTTACCCAAGGATCCTGGCTCAGGGTGCTGCCCTTAGCCTTCCTCTCGAATCAATCGGCCAGGTGGCACAGGCATCTCACGGCACCCCCCACGTGTCCCCGGATGCCACAGCCATGGGGAGCCCACGGGGGCCTGGGAAAACACAGCGTCTGCAAAGGCCCCTCAGCAAACCACAAATAAACATGTCTGTGGCTACCAGCGGACAAGCCACACCCCTCCACAAGACATGCACCGATTAGCGATTAGCGTTTCCTGCCTACAGACTTACTCCCCCCTACCAGCCACCAAGTCCCCGAAGAAGACCCTAAGAAGGCAGATGAATCCAGATGGCGGCAATTCCCCCCCCACCTCTGCCTTGGCTCCGGCAGGCACCTCTCACCCAGTTCCAGCAGCAAAAGGGACCCTAAGCTAGAGCTCCGGGCCACAAACGTCAGTCTGGAGTGGGGAAGACTCAGCAAAAGCCTTAAAATGCCGAAGACCTCAGTCGCTGCCCTCGTTTTGTTTCTGGGGGTGCCCCAAAGAGAATCGGCAGTCAGGACTAAGGTAGGGCTGGGGACGAATCTGCTCGCTTCTAACAAACCAGAGTTGAGCGACATGACCCGAGGCGGCTGCAGGATCTCAGAGGATCCCCCGTTTGTTGAGCCATCTGCAGTGCTGCTTGCCAGTGGGGACAGGACTGAGTGGCTTCCCAAGAGCACAGGGGGCCTCCTTTCTCCAGAGGTCTGGAGAGACTCAGAGGAGTCAGGAGCAGAGTGGGGCAGGAAGTTGTTGGGTAGTGAGAGATTTTTTAAACATTCGCCCACTGCAGCCCTCGTGACCCTTCTGTTCACTTTTGGGTCTGCCCCCATTGCCATGCTCCCCCTCTCCCCAGCCTGCCCACGCCCCAGGTTAAGCACAGAGAGTGTTATCCTCTTCCCTCCATCGACTAAGAGCCTCTGCAGTGGGCACAGGCAGGCCCGCCATCCTCCTTCCTGCCTTCTGGAAGCTGTTAGACTGAGCGAGACGGACAGAGCCTTGAGGGACATTTAAGACACTCTGGGCCGGGTCTCTCTGGGCCCCACTCCCTCTCTTACTGGGTATCGGTACTCTCTGGGCTTCATTCCTCATGGAATTGGCATAATGACACCTACTTCTCAGGACTTTGAAAGTGAAAGGCGATCAATGCAAGTAAAGTGGCTTGTTCCCTGTTGGGCACATAGTAGGGCTCAATATTAGTTGGATGAGTGGCTGGGGGGTAAGCGCACAGCCTGAGCCTTGGGGTCGGGTGTGTGTTTGGAAGGAGAGGGTCGCAAAGACGGGCGAGGAGCTGCTCAGATAATGGAGAGACTGAGAGTGGCTAGATCCTGCCTGAGCCTCCCCTAAAAAACCAAATTCCACTGTAGGTTTTCGGAGAGCCTCCTTCTGTGGTCTCGCCCAGGTGAGAATCAAAGCCAAGGGAAGGGGAATTTCTGGAATCCAGGCCCTGGTGTCAGAGAACCAGAAAGGCTGAAATGCAGTTCCTGGAATGCAAACAGGTTCCACTGCCACCCCCCTTCCCCGAAGCCCCTCCCAGCCAGGGCCACCGTCCTGGCACTCCCAAGTCCATGGACCCTGAAGCCTGAAGCATTGGCCTGGGGCAGGGAGGGGGAGAAAGGCTGTCAGCTCAGGGCAAGGGGCCCTGCCTCGGGCCAGCAGTCAGAGGACTTCTGTCATCTTCCTGCCATGGAATGTGTGATACCAAACAATTTAGTCAACCTTTCCGAGCCTCAGTTTCCACCAACTATAAAATGGGAATAATAACTCATGCTGTATTCTTCCTATCATATGAGACTATTATAGGGATCAAATTAAGCATTCTCTGTAGAAAGAGCACATTGTGAACTGCAAGTACTGCGCAAACACAGAACTATTAAAGCCTCTGGAAGGGGGGGGGGCGTCTGAGATGGGATGAGTTGTAAACTCTTCCTGTCTAGCATGGGGCCGGGAAGTGTCCTTCCAACTGAGGTTCCTTTGATCTTCTTTTTAAAACTTAATGAGTACTTAGGGCAAAGCTAACACTCTAATGAGGATTCAAAATTAAATTTAAAAATCATCACTTGCTCTCTTCACTCCACACTCACTTCCTCTATGGAGCACAACCATTAACCAAAAACTATTTTTAACTGGCACTAATTTGCTCTACCCTGAAACAAATGAGAGACAAATATTTTGTTAGAAAAACAAATCATGAACCAAACTTCAGTTAAAACAACAACAACAACAAACACCTAGTTAATGAGTTCAAAGTGAAATTAAAGCCAAACCACTGCAGCTTCCAAAACTATTGAACCAGAGTGAAATTAGGGCAGCAAAATATGCTCCCAAGTAAATCCCAAACTAATTCTGCATCTCATCGAAGGCCATGACTCAAAAAGATGCTTCTGACCTTCGCCTCCTCTATTTTGGGTTTTCCCATGTCAAATTCTGTACTCCTTCATTTAACAGGACGCACCAGATTGTCCCTGATGTGATAGTCACGGGGACACGAAGATGAGGGAGAGACAGTCCGGTCCCTCCATGAGAACCCAGCCCGGCGCACAGGTTCTTGCTGAGAACACAAGCTCCCCCTGCCTGGCTTGCCCTTCCTGCGACAGGACATCTGCCTGAGATCGCAGAGTAAAATGGGGCTCTCGGCAACCCCACTCACCCTCGTTATTGCCAGAATCAGAGCACGAAGCCAGCAGTACACAAAGAACAAAAATCCCGATGAACAGAAGTTGAGCCATAAAGACCTCTGCAGTGCAGTGACTAGGTGGTCCTCTGAGACCAGCTCCTGGAGCCAGCAGAGAAAGCGCCCTTTGATTTAATCCTGCATTCCACCCTTGCAGGTTCAGACACACTTTCTGATGATCTCAGCAAAGGCGGTTCCATCCAGTCCTCTCCACAGGCATCCCAGGAAGTGGGAGAAATGGAAGTGTCGGTTGTGGCTGGTGGCCACCCACACTCGGCAAGGGGGTGAGCTGGGAGTAGGCCTCCTGGGGGACAGCCCAGCAAGGTGCCCGCAGCGGAGAAACAGCCCAGCTTGCTGTTGTTACTGCTGCGGAGACAGCAGCTGCTATCTGCTTGTTGCTCTTACGCACACAGCCTGAAGTGTCCATCCTTATCTTCCTGAGATTCCCCCAAGCTGACATCATTATTGTCTTCCTTGAGCAGAGTCCTCCCCGCCTGGTTCCCGAAGCAGTCCTCCCTCTGGATTTGAGAGCCACTTGCTTTAATTGTAGATGAGAATGTCCTGGAGGGTCAACCCTGGCCATCTGGGTTCCCAAGGGCCTGGGCCAAGTCCACGGACTTCTGCCTCGGTATCTCTGCCTGGCATTCTTACCCCAGCCCCCAGCCAGAGCTCACCCAGCCTTTGGGGCCAACCTGCGGCTAAATTCTGTTTCCCAAGCTGTCTTCCTGGATCCCCTTTCCTCCCCATCAGAACCTTTGCCCTGGGTTATGCGGGACAAGAACAGACAAAGGGCTTGGAGGCAGATGTTACTTGGATAAATGCCCTGCCTTCAGCCCTCCCCAGGCCTGCTCTGCAGGGCAGTGGGAAGAAAGACCCTGGGAAGAATTTCAGAGGCCAGAGGCAGGCCCGCCAACCGAGAAGCCTTCCTCAAAGGCTCCAGCCCGTCTCTTCCGCTTCCCTTTTGCTGCGCTTTCGTGGGTTTTTTTATACTGTGATCCAAGTTTTAGACTTAATCATGTACTTCATTCTTTATGTGTCTCCACACTAGCTCAGAGGCTTCTGGAAGGCAAGGATATGTTATATACATTATATATATGGAAAGCATACCATGTTTCCCCCAAAATAAGACAGAATCTTATATTTATTTTTCCTCAAGGAGACACCCTTGGGCTTATTTTCAGGGGATGTGTTATTTTTTTAAAGTACGGTACAACAATCTACATTTATTCAAATAGAGTGAAGTCGTCTTCTTCTGGAACATCATCATCACTCTCCAAACCCCAAATTCCATCCTGAATTTCTTGCAACTCTATTTCCTTTAGAACCACTGGCCCCGATCTCTCACGTCGAGCCATGGGGCTCTCACGGGGCAGAGGAGAAGCGCTGCTCGTCTTCCTTCCGGCTCCACAATGAAATGCACGGGTTGTGCAGATGCGCTGCGCAGCCACGCCCGTCACTAGGGCTTATTTTCGGGGTGGGGCTTCTATTGCGCAAATGCTTAGAAATCCTGCTAGGGCTTATTTTGTGGGTAGGTCTTATTTTCGGGGAAACACAGTATGTTATATATGACTGTGTTCTATAACCTTGCTCAGCATCACGCTGCACCTAGATTATCCCTCTCGGCTTCCAAGCTACCCTGCACACGGCGTCACAGCCAGCCTGCTGAGCACAGACCCACTTAGGCCACTCAGGGCCCCCCACAGATGGGACCCAAACCACCTCCCAGCCTGTCCTCTGTGTTCTTTCTACATCCACACATTCCTTCCATCCCTCCCCTCCCTGCCCCGCTCCACCCCTGCCCCTCACCCCAAACAGTCTGCAGCTTGCTCTTCAAAGATTTTCAGGTACTTCCAAATATTTTCTCCTTCCTAGAGCCTTCTAATATCCTTATCCAAAATAATCAGTCCCTGGAATTTCCAAAGAAGTGTTTTAATATTTCATCTTTTAACAAGTACTACCTAAGGCTGGTCCGAAGGCAGTGAGTTATCTCATCTGATTGTTCACAGTCAGTTACAGAAGGAATTTCTTGTTCTACTACTTTCCCCTTCCTACCACTGCACTTGACTAGTCTTAAAAATATATATGTAAAAAAGGCCGGGTGCAGTGGCTCACGCCTGTAAATCCTAGCACTCTGGGAGGCCGAGGTGGGTGGATTGCTTGAGGTCAGGAGTTCGAAACCAGCCTGAGCAAGAGCGAGACCCTGTCTCTACTGTAAAAATAGAAAGAACTTAATTGGCCAACTAATATACATAGAAAAAATTAGCCGGGAACGGTGGCGCATGCCTGTAGTTCCAGCTACTGGGGAGGCTGAGGCAGGAGGATCGCTTGAGCCCAGGAGTTTGAGGTTGCTGTGAGCTAGGCTAACACCATGGCACTCTAGCCCAGGCAATAGAGTGAGACTCTGTCTAAAAAAAAAAAGAATAACTATAGCGCCACCTTCTATTGTAGTTGTTTATTCTATGAACACATCTTCCCCCAGCCCAACTATACTGTAAGCTTAGTACCTCTGTATACCTCATCTGGGCCCAGTGGATGTAGACACAGTAGACATTCAACAAATGTCTACTGAATTGAATAATAAGTGTTCAGTAACACTTATTGCATGAATAAAATGCACTGAAATGAGTCTACCTACATCGTAGGTACTAGCTCAATGAGTTTCTATATTACTTTCTTTTTAATCTTTCAGTTTACCCAGAGCCACGCCCAAGAAGCCTTGCAGAGAGGGACTCTTGATATTACTCTCTATATTGCATTTCTATACTACTTAGTACAAGTGACCAAAAAACCCAGTTTCCTCTAGTGTAGGCAAGCATAATGAGTCATGCAACTTGAGCGTAGGAAAGGCAAGGGTACAGTAGGAAATGCGGCACAACTGTCTCCAATGCTGCCAGCGCTCGCTGCCCAGCTTTCCCTCTGCCCCTCTCTGCCTTCGAGCTGGGGACTTTCCTGCCGGGGCCTCTTCCCCAGGCGGGGACCGGGGAACACAGCCCCTGAAGCTTCCAGAGCCTCTCTCCTCACTGTGCTCACGGTGTTCACTGCTGGAACCAGGCCTTGTTCTCTCTTTGACTTTAAGTTTAAAAAATCCCAAGAAAGGATGTGATTGGCTCAGCTTGGGTCGGGTGGGGGTAGGACCTGTAATACAATGAAAGTTTGTAGGAGGAGGAGGAGCAAGATCACCCTAAAGAACTGGTGGGCGCAGAGAGGAGGGTCGCCGTTCTAGACAAGACAGAAACAGTAGACACCCAAACAGGGAGTGATGCCATTTGCATTCAGGGGAGATGAGGGGGGTCTGGGGGGCTCAAGGTGGAGCTGTCAAGACGCATAGGAACATACTCTGTTAAACATGTAAGGCAGAGAGCGCCGATTGCACTTTCTTCAAGTGAGCAGGGGAAGGGTCCACCGTGACGCACGCCTGCAGAGACGGACCTGCTGGGGGAGGCCAGCACACCTGGCTAAGGAGAGCAAGGCTACGGCTAAAGGGCAGGGAGCCCGTAAGGTCAGCAGGAGGACAGGGAGAAGAGGGACTGTGCAGAGGCTGAGCGGAGCCTGCAGAACAGCCTGCCGTGAACGTCTGTCCTGTGCCAGCGGCAGTGTCCTCCCTCCTGCCCCCGGGGGACCAACTCCATTTTCCCACATCTTGTGGTTATTTTTATGGATAGAATTATTTTTTTTTACCCCTTCTAGACCTCAAACCTGCTGCTGGAGGAAACAAGGCACCGAGGGTTCTGGGTTTCCAGGAAACAAGCTGCCACAGCGGCCAGCTCGGCTGCAGAGGTCAGGCTGCTGTCCCCCTGGGGTCACACTGGCCACCTCCCGTCTGCAGGGGGCTTGGGGGTGGCAATGAAGTATAAGGGGGATTCCTCTTCCCTCATCCCACAACCACTCAGCCAGTCAAGGGGGAGCACTGCTCTGAGAGAAGGGAGGACCTACAGCCACCATAGAAGTCACAATCCTGCCTGCCCGTGAATCCCAGCCAACCAGAGGTGGGGCAGCCATCAGAGCCTCTTTTGACAGCACCTCTCCTGCACGGCCTGTCTCCCTGGAATCCAGGGAGTTTTTGATGAAGGTCTTACCTTTCAAACAGTAATCAGCTGTGAAGGGACATCAGTCCCCAGCCCCCACAGGCCAGCCGGAGCAGACTTCCTCCTTAATGGGACCATACATCTGGTCTACATTGTAATTCCCCCGAGACAAGTTTACTGAACAGGTAGGCAACGCTTCCACACACAGCCACTGCAGATGAGCTTAAAATATACTTTAATACATTTAAAGAGCCATTTCAGAGACTGGCTTGCTCATGATAAAGATGCAACTGACACTCGTTGGGCGCTAAAATGTCAAGTTGTTCCCATCCAGCAAGGAGCCTGACAAGCCATTACATCTGAGCTCTGTTCTGTTGATTCCTTCCCTTCCCCATCTCTTCCCCAACAATTGATGTGGGCACCTGAGTCTGACATTTTGCTAGGACCTACCAAAATCTAACGAGGTGCCATTTCTATGCCTGACATGCCCTGGGGAGGAGGAAAGGACCAGAGGAGTTGGGAGAGGGGTAGGGAGCAAATGAGAATGGAGGTCACCTTTGGTGTCCTTTATGTGCCTTGAGGGTGAGACCTTCAATGCCTAGGAAGAAAGAATTGCTTAGGAAACAATCCATGGATAGTTTTCCATAGAAAACTATAAAGATTTCCATAAAATCTCCCCCCACCCCTGCAGCCCTAGCTAGGCTGGGCTGGAGAGGAGAGGCACCATCGAGGCAGGGCTTACTTGGGATTGGGCTCCCAGGAGAGATGGCAGCAGGCAACCTTCAGCACCACGCTGAGGAGCTCTGAGTTCTCAGCCCAGCCAAAACACTCTAGAAAGTTCCTTTACTTTTGTCTAACTTTCCCTAGCTCAGAAATAGGATGTGGACGAGTTATCGAGAAAGAGTAGGATAGGAAAATAAATAGAGGAAAGGAAGGACCTCAACATTAGGAAATTGGGAAGGGTGCTTATGGGTGGAGGGAAACCAAATCCCTGGGTCTTATAACTCTGTTTTTCCATGTGCACGTGGCGCTGTGTCTTGGGACAGGGAGGGCCACAAAGGAGGACAGGTGTGGTGTGAGGTGTTGGGTTAGGATGGTAGGATCAAAGAGGCCTTTTCCCAAACCCCTGTGAAGAAGGATGGGAAGTAGTGGCCAGTCACCTTCCTCGCAGCGTAGCTTACAGCTGTAACCTGTGAGAAGTATGTCAACCTGCCCTCCATAAGCATATAAAAATGAGTGAGTGTGTTCTGTTGAGGTAGGTGTGGGAATGCATCCGTCAATGACGCTATGTCAGCGTGTGAACCAGCTGATGACGCATGTCTGGACTTGAAAGCCATAAAGTTCTATGCAAAATCTATGGAGGGCACTGTTGCACAATGCTGCTGGGCGTGCGGGCACAGGGGTGTGATGAATGGTCTACAGGCTGTGTACAGGTGTGCACGGACGTCAGAGCGTGTGCACATTGCGATGGGACTGTGTGATGCAAGTAGGAGAAAGCGCATGGGCAGTCAGTCCCATCTGGCCTTGAATCCTGGCTCTGTCATTGACCAGAGGTGGAACCTTGGGCCAGTCATTCAATCCTCAATTTCCTCAACCGAGGATGATAATAAGCACCTTTCAAGGTTGCCATGAGGGTTAGAAATGATATATGCAAAGCTTTCGGTGCCATGCTGGGACCCCAAAGTGGGCAGCTGTTCCCACGCGCCTCTGGCGAGTACAGCCAGCGCAAGACGGAGCAACGTGCGGGCTGTGTGCGAACTGAAATGCGGGTGAGGAAGAGTGTGTGCCTGGCGGGGGCTGGGGGGTATACACAAGGCATTTCGGCCCCTCCTCCGAGCCCCCTATTCAGACAGGGGTAGGAGAGTGGGAGGGTGGGAGGGGACGACACAAATGCCCACTGACACTTGGGTTTCAGGGTCCTGGGTCCAAGTAAGAGGTGGCAGGCCTGTTAGGAGATGCAGGAAGCCAACCGCCTGCAAGAAGCTTCCTTTTTCCCCCTCCACCCAGCGACGGTTGAATGCCGCCACCCACAGCCACTCCCCGCCCCCCTCAGCTTTCTGGTCGCCTAGAGAGAGCGAGGGCGGGGAGGAAAGCGGAGAGCAGAGAGGATTCCTCGCTTTCCTTCCCACATTCCCCCTTAAGACGAGGCAGGAAGCCGGGCCGCCGCGAGCCGGGCCACCTTAACGGTGGAGTAATGGTCTGGCGCCGCGCCAAGTCCCGCCCCGTGCCGGCGCCCGCCCCGCCCGGCCCCCTCCCGCGCCGCGCGGGGAGAGCTGGCGAGCAGGAGTCTGGCCCGAGTTGGCTGGAGCTGTTGCCATGACAAGCGTTTTCCCAAGAAAGCCCCGCTGCTGAGACCGATCGAAGCCGGGGGGCCGGAGCGGGAGGCACGAACTTGCTGGGGAACCATCCCTCCGGAGAGAGCAAGGCCGGAGACTCCCGCCCAGCTAGCTGCACCCTCCGCTTCCAGGGTCCGGAGCGGTCCTTCCCACTGGGAGCACTCGGCGAGGACCCAGCCCACTCCCCGGCCGGCCGCGGCTGCGAAGGCGAGAGAGCAAAGCCAGCGTCTCTAGCGTGGCCGCCACACTGCGAGGCCGGCGGGCGGTCACCCTGCCCTGTCCCCGTCCATGGAAACCCGGAGGGAGAGTCCCGCTTGGAGCAACCTGGATCTTTGCTAGAAAGAGAGGTAGGCTTGCAGAGAGTGAATCGACTCGGGATTTGCAAACTTTGTTTCTTTCTTTCCTCTCTATGGCTTCTAAAACTCCCTGAATTTCCTCTCCCTAGCATATTTCGTGCAACTGGGTTTGGAGGATTTGTGTGTGTGTGCGTGCGCGCGCGCGGGCGCAGATTTGTCAAATACTGTATTTCTTTCCTGTTCTCAGTCCTGAGAAGCAGGACTTGTGTGATCATAGGAGAAGCCATAGGATCACACAAGTGATTTGTTTTTCTTTTCCTAGTTTGTGTTATTCCTGGGCCATGAGGCAGGGAAATGGAGGGGCTGTCTTCTTCACACCAAAATTGAGCTCTTGGTGGGGGGAGGAGAAAAAAACAACAACATTTATTCCTCGCCTCCCCCCATCCGTTCCTGCCCTCCCCCTTGGCTTGGGAACGAGAGGCAGAATGGAAAACTGTTGCAAAAATATTTTCCACGTCTGTTCCCTTTCTCAAAAGCCCAAAAGAGAGATGGGAAAAAAAAAAAAAAAAAGAACCAAGTAAGAGATCTTTAGCTGGAAGGAGGGGCTGCCTCCGGGACCGGGAGAGGGGCGAGATGCGGGAGCGGAGGGGCGTGAGCAAGGAGAGTGCGCAGATTTCTCTGGATTTGCAGAAACTGCTCAGCAGTTTCTCTCTGCCGCTTGCAAAACATCCTCAGACTTTCACGTCCATAATTAGCTGTGGACTAGCTGGGAGTTCCCTCGCGCCGCTGCTGCTCGAGTGAGCCCGAGCGTCCGGAGCCAACTGCGAGTCTCGGAGGGCACCGCCCGCGCCCGGCCCGCGGAGGACGGAGGAGGGGGTGCGGCTGAAAAGTTTTCGGTGTCCAGCCTGGACATGGTGGGGCCGGGCAGTGTTCGGCGGCTGGGCGCGGGCCCCGGGCGTGCGGCAAGGGTCCGCGGGCGTCTTGGGTGGCTGCACCGGCCGCCGAGAGAGCTGGAAAGGAAGGCTGGGGTTGCCTTTGCCGCTCTGCCTCCGCGCGCACTCACTCACTCTCACACTCACTCACATACTTGGCGCGCTCTTGGTGCATGGGGCCGCTGGCATCACTCCCCGAGGCCAGCCCGCCTCGTGCTCTCCTCCCCGTCCCCGAGGGTGCGGTGGCTCCGCTCCTTCTGGGCGTGGAGGGCGAGCAGTGGGCGCTGTGCGGGCCGGAGCCGCCTCCCTCCTGGGCATTCCTGCCGCCTGACGGTGACTGGCAGACGCGACGCCGCGCCTGCTGGCTGGGTGGGGGGAAGGAACGTCAAGTGAAGAAACTGGCTCCACGGAGGCCCCTGGGGCGAGGGCAAAACAAAATCCCATCCCACTGGGCCACCTCCTCCTTTGGGTGGGGTGTCTGGCGGGGAGTCTTGAGATCCTCCGCCTCCTTCCTCGAGCCCCTCCGCAGAGCAGCCCCTTCGCCCAGCTCTTGCCACGTGGAGACCCTTGCCCTGTGTGCCCGTCTGCCCTGGGGCCTCTACCTGGAACGAGGCAGGAGACCGGGGTCCTTCCAGGATGGGCCCGGCCTAGACGGAGGGGCTGGGCAGGACAGGTTTTGGGAGGTGGGGGGCCGGAAGAGGCTGTGAGTTGGGCTGGGTGCCGCTGGGGTGCTGGGGGTGGTGGCTTGGGGAGCAGGCGCTGGGGCAGGGAGGGATGGTGGCAGCTGGGTAGACGGTGCTCTGGGAGGTGGGAATGAGCCCTGAGGCGGACAGATGTGTGGGGGCCAGGCTGGGGGAGGCAACACCTGCCTTGCACCCCAGCTAGTTCGGTTGGGGCCTTGGGAAAGGCCACAGCTGAGGCTGGCAAAAGGCTGGGAGGAGAGCTTGGGTGGGGGCGGGGGAGCAAGAGGAATCAGTTTTCATTTTGAGGTGTTCTGATTGATCCGACTGCACCCAGGGCAAGGCAGCTCTTCCCTGCTTGTATCCTGGCGGAGAAGGGCACGAGGCCTTCCCCTGTGGGCAGAGGCCCCAAGACAGAGTCAATGCCCTTGTTCTGGAGGGGGGAGGGGAACCATTTGTTTGCTCTTCTCTAAAGCCCCATCCTCCTGCCACCATCTTGCTGAGGTATAACCCCTAGATCCTGCGCTCCCCCCTCCCCACGGCCTCCTACTGTGGGGGCCCCTAATGCCACCATTCCTGCAGCCAGCCCTCCAGACTAGGGGTAGATTCTGGAAGGCTTGGGGAGGGCCTCTCCAGGAGGAGCAGGTCCCTGTTTAGCACGCACTGCACTGGGGGGGGGGGGGAGAGGGGAGGGCGCCTGCTCCTGCGGCCTTGAGTCAGGGTGTGCCCAGAGGGGGAATTTGCACCCCAAAGCCCCAGCCCTCCCCCAGGGGGCTCCAGGACTGGAGCAACCCGCGGGCCCCCTCTGCGCTCCGCAGCCTCTGCGCCCCGCCCAGCAGCCTCCCGCCCAGCAGCCTCCCGCCCAGCAGCCTCTCCCGAAGCTCGGCTCCACCCTCCCGTCGCGGCCTCAGTCTGAGAACTCCGCGGAGACCGGCTCAGAGCTGGGGAGCCCAGGCTTCCTGCCTCCCTGGCCGTGCCTGCTCCTTGCAGCCCCCTCCCTTCGGTTCACCACCTCCGTGTCTCAGGATTCAAGGTCAAGTCCAAGTAGCACAGCCCGGCCCCCAGCTGCGCTCCCAGTGCCTAGCACAGCGCCCGGGACACTGGAGCACGTGGTCAGTGCTTTCTGAGAGAGGCAAGGGCAGTTTGGGGAGCACGGGACTCAGCCTCCACGTAACTGAGGGCTCCCAACTTGCCCCCCCCCAGTTCCCCTCTGCACAGGGGGAAGCCTGCTCCCCACGGTAAGGTGGGAGGGGGTGGCTGAGTCAGATTTGTCAGATTGCTGTGGTCTCTGTCTGTCTGAAGTCAAACTGGGAGGACCCAGTTATGGGTAGGAAGTAAAGCAGTTAGAATTTGCCCCAGGTCTGGGCGCTGGAGGAAGTGAGGTGGGGGCGGGGGTGGAGGTCCCTGGGCAAGGACAATAGGGGGTTTACTCTTCCCACTCCCACTGACTGGCGGGTCCTGAGAGGAAGAGGTCGGGGGCTCAGCTGGCAGGACACAGCTGCCACCTGTCAGCAGTGCCAGCATTCCTCTGCCTTATTCCGGAATGTGGCTTTACTTAGTAACCTCTGTGGGCCCTTTCCTCTTTTTTCAATGCTTCTGGCCTCAGACCCAAAGACATGGGTCATCCTTGCCCATCTAGCATAGAACATTCCAGACCTATTGAGCTTTGAAGGGAGGAAAGGGACCCTAATAAACGGTTGGGCTTGGAGTAGATTGTCCCAGATGTGTGGTTTGACCTTGAAGGGGAGTGCCCCACCCTGAGCCTAACTGTCCACCCCTGGGGGATTCTTCAGGCCATCTGAATTCTGTGCCCCCAGAACGCCCCTCAGACAGCGCTCCCTCCCCATCCTAGTTCCCTAGGCTGGCCCCTGTCACCCCCAGTTGCTATTTGGCGGGTGGGAGGGATGAGGAAGGCGAGGCCTAGTCAAGCGGGAGGACAGCCTCTCTCCCCTCCTTTCCCTTTTCTGTAGGTCGCAGGAATAGGGCTGGAGTCCAGAGGGCCTGTGTTGTGCTCGGCTTCCTCTCCCAGCGTCCCTCTTTGTCTCCTCTTTCCTTTGTGTGAGCCACTCTTGTTCCACTGACTTATTTCCTCTGTGCATGTTAAAACAGAAATGACAGGGACCTTCTACTTCTGCCTCCACCTCCAGCCTGTCCTCTGTGTTCAGCCCGCATGAACTTGGGTTGAGGACAACCAGGCAGCATCGGGGTAGAAGCAGAGCCAAGGGCTCCCGGTCAGGGAAGAGGCTGTTGGGAGACAGTCTTCGTGTGGAGGGGTAGGGGAGAGGCCACGGGAGAGAAAAGGGGAGGAGGACATACGTGTCAGGGGCAAGGGCCCCCCTCCACCTCCCTTCACTCCAGCTCCTCTCTGGCTTCCCAAGTCTTCAGCCTCATCACTTCTTCTCTCTGCCCTAGTTCCCCAAGTTTCGTACACAAATGTCGGGGAGAATTCAGGGAAGATGAACTGGAAATGGAATAGCAAGGTCCACCTGGGTTGGAAAACCAATGCCAGGAGTGCAAACCAATACAACCCTAGGAAGGGGAGTTAGCGACATCTAACAAAACTACATACACATTTACCCAGCATTCCTACTCCTAGAAATTTATCCAGAAGATGCTCATTCACAAAGATATCCACACAAGGTGCTTCTGTAGGGCATATTCGTAATAGGAAATCACTGGAAACTATCCAAATGCCCATTCTTTTTTTTTTTTTTTTTTTTTTTGAGACAGAGTCTCTCTTTGTTGCCCAGGCTAGAGTGCCATGGCGTCAGCCTAGCTCACAGCAACCTCAAACTCCTGGGCTCAAGCAATCCTCCTGCCTCAGCCTCCTGAGTAGCTGGGACTACAGGCATGCACCACCATGCCCGGTTAATTTTTTTCTATATATATTAGTTGGCCAATTAATTTCTTTCTATTTATAGTAGAGATGGGGGTCTCGCTCTTGTTCAGGCTGGTTTCGAACTCCTGACCTCGAGCAATCCGCCCGCCTCAGCCTCCCAGAGTGCTAGGATTACAGGCATGAGCGACCGTGCCTGGCCTAAATGCCCATTCTTAAGAGACTGGTTGAATGAATGATGGTACCGCCACACAGCAGAGTGCTAGGCAGCCAGAAACAGAAAAAAAGAATGAGTAGGAGCTCCATGAACTGATACAATGTGATTTCTAGGATATGTTATTAAGTGACAAAAGCAAGATGTAGAAGAGTGTGGGTAGTATGCCCCCTTTGAGGTGAGAAAGCAGGAGAAATATGAATATTTTTTGCGAACACACAGAGAAAGGATAAATGAGAAATTCTCTAACATGGTTGCCTATAGGGGGTGGATGGGAGCAAGTGGAGGAGATAGGGATGGGAGTGAGACCTTTCTGGCTTTACCTTTTTAAACAGTTTTAATTTTTGTACCATGCAAATGTTTTACATATTCAAAAATTAAAGCCAACC